GCGGGGGGAGCAGGAGGCAGAGATGCTATCTCGCAGGTCAGAGCTGCTGCCAGAAGTTGGAGTGCCAAGCTGCTGCTTCCAACAAATGTCTCTCCAAAAGTCCTGATCTCACCCCGCAGCGGAGCTGACGGTCCTTTGGGGCTCCTGCTTCACGCGGAGCTGCGAGGGTTGCAAAACTGGCACAGAGTTAGGGCATGGCTTCCAGAGGACGGGCTGGCATTCCCCAAGAGGGGAAGGTGAGGAGGAATTGCGTCTCCCCAGACGTGCTGTGCATGCTCCCGTCTCCACTCTTCCCGTTGACGGCCTCCAAGCTGTCCCCTCTGCTTTTCTTTCTGCCCTCCTGTAGCATTTTTGCACTGAGAGTTTAATCAGGAGCAAACAACCCATCCTACCTCCCTGCCTCTCGTCTGGTTGGAGCAGGAGCTGCTGGGGAAGGGGTTCAAAAGCAGCCCTGCTCATTTGGGACCTTTGGTGGGAGGAGTCCTGAAAACCCAGCAGAAGTAATGGCACCAGTGCAGGTGTGGTGTGCCAGGGTGCTGCCCATCCCTGGAGCTGCTTGAGGGAAAGAAAGGACGGGTGCTGATGCATGTGGCTTGCATGTGACATCTCAAGCTTTTCCTGAAAGCCCTCCAACATCTGGTTTCTCTTCCCAGCCCTGAGGATGGAAGGGAGGAGGGGAAAAGAAAAATCCCACCTTTTAACACAGTCTGAACATCCCCCTCGTGAAAACCCGTCTGATTTATTGCGTGTGCTTGAGCTTGTTCCAGCTTCAGGAGGTTCTGGAGACCAGCTCTTGCAGAGGTGGGCTGGAGGCTCAGTGACAGGCTGCTTGCAGCTTGGGGGTAGTTCTCTGTCTCTATAGGAAATGAAAGCATTCTGGTGGGCAAAACCAAAACGGTCACTGGAGATGCAAAAGACTTCTCCTCGCTCATTGGTGTTCCAGCCCAGGGAGTGAGTGAGGTTCCTGATGGTACCACCTTGGCTGGTGCCAAGGAAACTTGGCAGGAAGCTGGAGGGTGGAAAGGGCTTGAGGGGGTTTCAGGATCTCACTCTTCTGCACTGTACAGTGGGCACCAGGGACCTGCGAGGGGTATCCCTGAGGGCAGCAGGCACAGACAGACCGTTTTTGAGAGGGTTTAGCGGGTTTGATCCTTTCCTGGCATGGTGGGGCGTCACACCGGGAGCTGAGGAGGGAGTCACCAGCAAAGCCCTGTGCTGCAGCCCTGGGGGTGCGTGAACCCCCAGCCCCATGCATCTTGGATGTTTGGCAAAGGGAAAAAATTACATAAACCATTCCTAGGAGCCAGTGGCCCAAAAACCCCTGGGAGGGAGCTTGAAGGAGAAGTGACGTGCTGGGAAGAGTAGAAGAGAGGAGGAGTCCAGGCTGCAGCGCCTGTCTGCAGCCGCTGTCCCTTCCCTGTGCTGGGGCTCAGCAGTGACCTTCAGGCCAGGGGCCAAGAGAAATGCAGCCTGCAGAGTCTCCCAAAACCTTTCCAGAACGTTGGGAAAGGAGAGGTCCTGGGCTGTTCCAGGGTTGCCAAGGCATTGCTTGGTGCCAGCCAGCAGCAGGGCACTGGGCTGCGCTCCGGACAAAAGGTGGCCGGGTTGCCGACCAGCGTGGGTAGATGCTTTTATTTAAATCTCTCTCCCTCTCTTTGTCCCATGGAGATGAGCAAACAAACCCTCTGCTCATCCTCCTAAAGGTCATCAGAGGCGTTCCTGCTTTTGTTTTGAACGCTGGATTGATGCCGGGGTGCGGATCCCTCAGAGGAAGTGACAGGGGGTGCTGGAGAAACATAGAAAGGAAAACTAAAAATTGACAGCAATTAATAGCACACCTTCCTATCACTAAATTAAAAAAAAGGAGGGGGGCACCCAGCTAGCGGCCCCCCACCACGGCCGTGCCTCCTCTCCCTGGTGCGAGCTCCCCGTGCCCCGCGCGCTGATGAAATGGAAAGTTGTCCATAAATCAATGTCGGCTGCGCTCGCTCTGCACCAGCGGCGCCTGAGATGCACCAAAACAAAAGCGCCGGCTGCTCCGTGTTCCCACACCGCCCCCTAATGCGGAGAGGCCTCGGGAGCCCGGGATGACGAGGGGCTCTGGAGCCCCGAGAGGCTCCCCCTGATAACCCCTGCCTGCCCTTCCACCTCTCCTCCCTGCATCCTGGGGTGCAGCTCTTGGAGTAAAGTCACTCGTGGTGGGTGAGGATGGTAAAACAAGGCGTAGTAGGATGGGCCCATGTTGTCCTGCTGGCTCCTCGGATGCCACCATTTTCCTCCTGCTTGGCTCCATGGGCACTGAGTTGTAGCAGAAGCCACCACCAGCAGTCAGCCAGCTCTGGCAAGGTGGCAGAAGAGCCACAAGTCCAAGCTGCCCTTCCCAAAATCCTGGGGCAGAGCTCACTGTCAGCCTTGCACAAGGCAGGGTTTGAAGGAAGGAGGCTTATGAGCTGGAGGAGAGGAAAAGCAAGTGTCAGAGAAAGTTTTGAGGTTTTTTTTCTGGAAGTTTAGTAGGATGCCCGAGGCTTTTGTACCGAGCGTCTGGAGCATATGGTGGGATTTGCAGTCAACTTTCTCTTGGGTGCTCCAGCCAGATGGAGGTGACTGTTCTTGGCTCCGGCTGACACGGGTTTGTTTCCTGAAGAGCTTGTGTTAAACATATTCCTTAAAACCAGGCTTCTGCAGTCAGAAGCCCCAGCTGCAGGCAAAGCAGAGCTCCTGCCCACGGCTGCCTTCCGCCGTCTGGGGAGGAACTTGGCCAACATTCTCTTGCCTTGCCTTTACCCTGCCTTGCCTTGCCTTGCCTTGACCCTGCCTTGCCTTGATCCTGCCGTGCCTTGCCTTGCCTTGCCCTTGACCCTGCCTTGCCTTGCCTTGCCCTGCCTTGCTTTGCCTTGCCCTACCTTGCTTTGCCTTGCCCTACCTTGCCTTGCCCTACCTTGCCTTGCCTTACCTTGCCTTGCCCTACCCTGCCTTGCCTTGCCTTGACCCAGCCTTGCCTTGCCTTGCCCTGTCTTGCTTTGCCTTGCCCTGCCCTGACTTGCCTTGATCCTGCCCTATCCTCTCCCAGCAAGGTGCATTTGGGTCCTCAGCCAGCACCATGTGCTGGAAGGTGTCCATGGTCCTCTCCAAAGGCACCTGGAGCATCTCTGCTGAAGGCTCCTTCAGGGATTCCTAATTTTTCTGTTGACAGCTTGCAAAACTTCACTCTCCTCCTGTAGAAACAAAGCTCCTACCCGATAAGCCCAGGCACATTTTGAATTAGCTCCATCTGATTTATTTTAGCTTTTTCTAATGTCAGAACGGGCAGGTATTTTAAAGCACCAGATGCTGCTGCTGTCAGTAAATGACGGGGATCTCGTGGCATTGATGCTTTGCCTTCTCCTACCACCCCGCATCCTTCTGCCCTCCCCCCCCCAAGAGGTGCTTGAAAATGTTTTTAAATAGAAAAACTCCCCCATTAGCTGAAAGTATGTAGCCCATAAAACATGATCCATTTGTGGTGAATTACGCTGGAAACATAAATTGACACACGCAGAGCTATGATTGCTCGTGCCATTTTCCATCTTTAATATTTTACAAGAAGTTTGAGGAGTCGAGCTGGTGAAAGACAGAGTGGAAATAAACCTGATCGCCTGGGAACTCCCCTTAGGAAGCAGCAGCAGCAGCAAACTTGGGGCACCTGAGGGGCCAGGTTGGGCTTTTAAAGTCCCTGTAGTTTAGTGGGGGTGGGAATGAAGCAGAGAGAGGAGGTTGGTGCACCAAGAGCTGTTGGGAGCAGTTTCCTCTTGTCACCGTTTTTATCTGTTTCGGGTTGTTTATTGGAGTAGTTTTTCGAGGCAGCTAAAGGAGGGTGAAGAAAAACTCCCTGTGCAAGGCATCCAGTTTGGGGGGAAAAAACAAAGTAAAAAAAAAAAGAAAACTTAGGAGATGATGGGCTTTCTCTGGTTGAGGAGAGCTCTGGTGTTGAGATGAGAGTGAATTAACTGCAGGGCAGCTATTGCTGATCTCCCACATCCTGTGGGATGGAGTTCTGCTGAGGGGGAACACCGCTTGGGCATTTGGGATCTGGAGGGAGGTGGTGGGGAGGAAGCAGGACTGTGCATGTGTCCAGCCTCTTCTTGCAGCAGCAGCAGTTAATGACTGCTAAGTACACATCTTTTAAGAAAAAAGGGTTGTTGTGGTGGTTGGAGCCCACGTGTCATCTCTGCGAAACACTTGTCTCAACTGCGGTGATCCATCGGGATCAGCTGCTGCTTCCTCTGGAGCAAGGGAAACCCATACAAAAAAAACAAAAGCAACGGATCCAGCAGGCGTTCCTGGCCGAGCGTGGGTCCCAGCCCTGGAACATCTGCAAATATTTATGGAGATAACAATATCCAGAGGGTCTGGGTTGCTGATGGAGCAGAGCAGCCGTGCTGCAGGGGCGCAGGAGGGGGTTGCGGTGCCTGCAGCCCAGAGCCAGCGTTTTGGATGCTGCTTCTTGTTGCTGGTTTGAAAAAAAAACCAATCAAACAAAAATCAGCAACAAAAAAACAAGAACTGAAAAATAAAGGAAAAAATCCCCTCTCAGCTCCTCCCTTGCCCACCTTGTACAAGCTGGGTTTCTGCAGTCATGTTATCCAGAAGTCTCCACTGGGAGTGGTACCATGCAGGATAAGGATCAGAGCTTGTAGCATCCCAGGGAGCAGCCCTGGGGTGATGGGGCAGGACCACGGTCCTGAGGATCCATTCAGCAGCACAAAAAGTTGGTGCTCTTCAGATCCAGATGCTGTAGGGGATTTTTCTCTGGTGGAAAATGAGGCCATGTCTTCTAGAAGCTGTTTCTGCAGAAACCAAACGCTGCTTGCTCTGAAGCTCCACAGCACCTCTGGGCCCAGCTGGGGTGCGTGTAGGTGGCAATACCCCGTGTGTTCCATACCTGTTAACTCCATGCCCTTGCATGCTGGGGGATATGAGAGGGAGGACATCAGAGGTTTAATCAGGGCGTTAATAACTTCAGGATGTGGTCTGTGTGCGTGTCCAGCCAGTACCCTGGGTATCAGTGACCTCCTCCTTGTGGCATAGGAAGGCAGGCATAGCGGAGGACCTGTAGACTCTTGTGTTGATGGGGCTTGAGGGTTGGCCTCTGTGAGTCCTGACTTTTCCCTTCACTTGGTTTCATTGCTCATTCAACTCTGCCGATCTTCCGTGCCCCGGTTTTGCAGCCGTGATGCATAGGAAGAGCTTTGGTGGTGGCCAGACCTCACTGAGGTGTGCTTTCCTCTGTGAACTGGTGGTTGGATCTGTCTGCTGCCTGCCAGGGGTTTTGCATTTGCTCCAACAGCTTTAGCCATCTCTCAAGAAAAGTAAGTTGTCTTCATGGAGATGACTTCTGCTAGAGGTGGTTGATGTTACAGTTCAACCACAGAGATTTGTCTTCTCCGCTGTGGTGGGACATGGATGGAGAAGGCAGTTGTGTTGTTATCAGAAGAGCTGTCCTTAAGTGCTGTGGCATCTTCCAGTCGAGGTTCACCTAGGGGCAGGGGCTGGTTGCCTTCAGGTCCTGGAGAATAAATCCTTCTTCCCAAGAGAAGCTGTGGGTGGCCCATCCCTGAAGGTGTTCACAGCCAGGTTGGATGGGGCTTGAAGCAACCTGGGCAGAGGTGTTGGAACAAGATGATCTTTAAGGTCTCTTCCAACCCAAACCAGTCCATGATACTATGAAATAGTGGTGTAAACAGTGGGACTTAGTTTCCCCAGGCACAGTGGCTGGAGTGGGAAGGCTGGCAGGAGGCTCTTGGTTTAAATCACTTGGCTCCATCTCGCCGCCAAACCATTCAAATTAAAAAAAAATAAAAATAAAAAAAAGAGGAGGGGGAAACAACCCCAATCCTCTTACTTTATTTACATTGCACTCAAGTTCCTGCTGTACAAAAGATTTGCAGGTGCAAATATGTCCTGCCTTCATTAACTTCCCCTCCCTTTTTAATTTATGTGATTTCAATTTTCCTTCCCTGTACTGTTAATTAGGGGACCCTCTAATCAGTACCATTATCACAGTGGTATTCATGTTTAGGAAAGCTGCTAAACAAATGCTTGCAAAATTGCTAAATGGCTAATTAATGTCTGTTAATTAAGAAAATTGCTCATGGTAACAAACCATGCCATCGCTGGCAGCAGCTAGAAGGCAAACACTTGTTGAAATTAGTAACGAGGCAGGTAGAGAACATCTGCTCCGGCGCCGGTCCTGGAGCCTGACGTTGCTTCCCATCACCTACTGACAACGCTCGTTT